AAACAAAGATAAAACAAAATTAAACGAAATTATAAACGAAATAGAACAAAAAATAATCCATAAATATTGATAATAAAATTATTCAATTACCAATTAGATATAATGAGAATTGTTGATTTCAGAAAAAAAATCATATAAGAAAAGTTGGAAACAGAGTAATAATAATATATAATAAAAACAAATTTAAAACTACGTTATATAAAATGGAGGGAAAGAAAAATCACAAGTTAGAATAGAAATAAAAATAAAAAAGAGGAAAACCACGAATCGCGAAGATAAAGAAACAAAGCGAGGATAAAAATTGAAAAAAAAAAAAAAGACAACGAAGTAGAATCACTGATAGTCGAGGGTAGAAACCGGAAGTAATGAGGAAATAGAGGAAAAGTAAACGAATTTTAATTTTTCCTTTATAATTAGACGTCTTACAAACGAAGAGGGAAAAAATAGAATGTAAACAAAAAAAAGCAGAAAAAAGTTATAAAAGGCGAAGAGTAAAAGGATTTTCGAAAGGAAAAATTTTTTTCACTTATATATATATATATATATATATATATATATATATTTATAGTATATGAGAAAGAGAGGATAGAAGGAAAGATGAAGCTGTCGATGCGGTAGCGGCGGAAATGTTTGGCTCGGAAGTGGTTGAATTTGCATGAATCGCAGCCGGTCGTTACGTTTCAATGCTTACCCAGTTGCCTTCCGCTCGCTTAAATGTCGTTTAATTAATTGAAACGGCTTATTCGTGTGCACTTTCGACGACCAATCCGCGGTATTTTCTTCGCTCATTGGATTCACGAATTATAGATATGGTTCCTTTTTGTCGTGAAAATATGCATGGATGGATGGATCGAAATAAATTTTCGCAAAATAAAAATTAAAAAAAAGGTAATCTCGATTTTCTCCTCATCTGGTATGCAAAAATGGTACAATTATAGTATAATTGGATGGCAATTTTAATTATATTCCATTTATAGCAATTATTTCTTAGATTTCATAATAAATAATACAATTTATGAATTTTAATTTTTCCTTTATAATTAAACGTCTTACAAATGAAAACTATTGTTATTTCTCGTAATAACCTTTATTTTAAAATTAAGATTATAATAAATTATTTAAGTAATAAGAGTATTATATAATGTATTAATATATAAACACGATATAGTAATAACATCTCATCAATCTTAAATGTGTAAATATATTAAATGTATAAATATTTTCCAAAATCCTTCCCTTTATCTACCATATTTTGAAACTTTTAGTGTATAGATCATTTTTGAAATCTAAAAAGTATAATCATCTTATAAATAAGATTTGCGACTATCATAAAAGATATCTTCTGGAAAGAGAACAATGTTTCCTTCTTTTTCATCCTTTTCAAAAAATTTAACAGTTTAAATTGGAAAATCTCTCTTCTTATATTTTATTTACATTATATAAAATATTCAAAAAAAGAAAAAAGGTCAAGCAAAAATAAACGCGTACACGATATTCACACGAAATATTCGCATGGCATAAATTTTTTCGCGAGCGTTAATGAACGTCGTGTATCGCATGAAAACGTTTCTCATCGTTGTGAAGTGGCCGCTTGAACAAGCGTATTTCATCGTTTGCAATACAGCATTACTCCGTTTTAAATTACCCTTAATACTAGCAATTTCTTCCTACATACATAACGCTCGGGATTAATTACATTCGAGGGACAGTATATCAAAACGAATTAAAAGGTACAACCGTGCCGACAACCGAGCAGCCATTTTCTTTTTCCCTATCTCTTTCTTTCTCTCTTTCTCTCTCTTTCTCTTCTTCGTTTTAATCAATCGGCAGAATCATCGCGTATGTTAACGAAGGTGCGATCGAGTGGCCTGGTAACTTTTTTTTTTTGCAAAACGATACCTTCCAGTTCGAATCTCGTGTATCGATGTCTATTTTCGTGGAACAGGAGAAAGAGAATCACGAAGGGAATACGAATGAGAGAGATAGAGAAATACGGAGAACAAAAAGAAACACAGAGAAAGAGAGAGAAAGAGAAGAAAAAGATAATAAAAGAGAGAAGAGAGATGAGGAAAGAAAATAATATGTACAGAGAGAGAAGAGAGGAGAAAGAGAGAGAGAGAGAGAAAGAGAGGAAAAGATAATAAAAAAGAGAAAAGAGATAAGGAAAAAGAGAAACATATACAGAGAGGGAAAGAAAGAAAGAGAAGGAAAAAAATAATAAAAGAGAGATGAGAGATGAGGAAAGAGAGAAACATATACAGAGAGAGAGAGAAAGAAAAGAAAAAAATAATAAAAAAGAGAAGAGAGATGAGGAAAGAGGAAACATATACAGAGAGAGAGAGAAAGAAAAGAAAAAGATAATAAAAGAGAGAAGAGAAATGAGGAAAGAGAGGAACATGTACAGAGAGAGAGAGAAATCTCAAAGGAGAGAGACACAAAAGGAGATGCAGAGGAAGAGACCGAAGGAGAGAAACACAGAGGGAGGAATAATAAAAGAGGAGAAGAAAGAGAAAGAGAGACGATACCAAGGTATAAAGGGAGAAAGAACAAAGGAAAGAAAGTAGAAAAAGAGAAAGAGAAAGAAAAGGAGAGAGAAAGAAAAAACAAAAGAAACGAGAGACAGAGAAATGACAAAATTACAAATTTACACGCGCGCAGAGAATGAGCACGGTGCATAATTAGAGATGAATCGTTGGCAAAATTCGAACTGTACCAAACCGAAGAGAATAGAGGGAAGAGAAGAGAAAGCGAGAGAGAGAGAGAGAGAGAGAGAGAACAAGCCTATTCCCCTGATTCTGATTGGATTCGAATACATTTGGGTATATCGGTGTGGGCTTTGGTGTACCTACATCGCGGATCGTAATGTACCGACCACGTGTACCCGCGTGTACCGAAATTGTCGAATGAATCACGTTCCAGCGGACAAGTACTCGCCGATTCCCCCGATAACGAATTTGAGACCAGTGCAAACTAATCCGGATCCCAAGATCAACGGTCCCGGACCGGTTCTAGATGGTTTACTGCCGACTCTTCCACGCTGCGCTCGATCGAAAGAGTAACGGATTCGGCATCGCGCGAGTTAATAGGAGTTAAACTGGACAAAATTATTTTTTTTTATGGATTTTTATTTTATACGGAAATTTAATTTTTTGAAAACAGTACTATTTTTTTATTTCTGCTATTTTTGTTATTTCTTATGTAAAAATGTAAGTATAGAATAAAAAAGAAAATACATAATGATCAATATATAAAAAAAATATATAAAAATACAAACGTACAAATATTGAAAGATTGAAAGGAATAGAAAAATTTCTTCAAAATATAATAAATAAATAGCGATAGAGATGGATATATTATAACGTAAGATAGTTTAAAGTTAAAATTCATAAATATCAGTGGTTGGATTAAAGAATCCGCTGGCGACGGTTGTGCCTGTACATGTCATGTAAACAAGATTAATTTTAGTATAGTTTTACAAAGTTTTGCGAATCAAATGTGGTAGTAAAAAAAAAAGTAGAAAGTTTCTACTTTTCATATATCCAACTCTTATCGCGTGGAACAACGATATAAAAAATTATTGATAAATCATTGCATTCGTGAATTTCTAACATGAAGTAATTATTTAATTTTAAGCTCAATTTACAAGAAAAGAAAATAATTATTGATAATTTATAACGGTTTAAATTAAAGTAGACGTTTTCAAATGTCATATCCGTTATAAAATTTTAATGCTTCTTAATAAATTTTCAGAATATTTCTCAACTATTGAGATGTGACCGATCAGTTATTAGTTCAATTTGTTTAAACGTTTAAAAAGAGAATTTAAAATTTATAGCGTATGGTTATTATACATTGAAACAATTATTTTTTATAAATTTGAAAATAAATTTTCTTCACTTAATATACATCGTTCGAACCATTGTGAATCAGCAATATTCCTGAAATATTTATAAAAAGATGATATTGGAAAATTTTATCGATTTTTATTTTACTTTTTTGTTTATTTATGTTATTATTTTGTTTTATCGCGTTATTTTCGTTAGAACAGAGTTGTTGATTTTAAAAAAGAATTCAAGAAGAATTGATAGAACAAGATTTATTATTATTGCGGCGATGGATGGCGATTGATTGTTGAACGGGCAGATGGAAATATTACGATTTATTTATTTATTTATTTATTTTTGATCGGGCGTGAATGGTTTAATATTGGCGTAAATTTCAAATGCTGTTTTACGAGGATAATAAATCCGTTAATGTGAAAATGAAGAGGCATCGAAGCATTTGCAGCATTTGTTTCTTTATTTTTATTTTTGAAATATATTATTTTTCTTTCAGGAGAGAAAAACGAACGGAATATTTAAACAGCTCTCTTGAAAGTTAATCCACGTTTTGAATCACGACGAAGAAACGTTCTTTTTCTACGAATATCGTTAATTGTAGAAAGCTTTTGATAAATAATATACCACCAGTTTAACTTTGTACACAACTTTTAACTCTAATAATCGTCTTTTAATTTTTAACTCTCTTTCCAGGATTTAATTTATTTTTTTATTTTTTTATTTTTTTATTTCTTCTTCTTTCAAAAATAGTAAAACAGATTCGAGACAAAAAATCGAATTAAACATAATAAGATATCGTAAAATTTTTCGTTAAATTTCGTTCGAAATAAAAATTATTATTATATATATATGTTGTTATTATTATTATTATTATTATTATTATTATTATTATTATTATTATTATTATTATTACACATTATTTACGTTCGATAACATTCCACCGTAATAATTTAACAGATATATATCTTTATATCGGTGGCAAATGTCAAGTTCGGCCAATATCGTAATGTACAAACAATGGGATGATAATGTCCTAGATAAGGTTATACGCGCCGCGCATGTCTCTCATTCATGCATCTGTCGCTCCAGCGGCCAAACACGTTTCACTCGCTCGTCGTAAATCCCGTCATGCGGTATTATCGCGCATAAATTCTCCTATCGTGGACATTTACGATACTTCTCCAATTACTTGCGCCGAGATCAACTTGTGCCGCCTAATAAACACTTTCTTACTTATTAAGAGGCGGTCGAAAATTTTGTGGAAACAGGATTTTTTTTTTGAGCAATCGGAAAATACGGGAATACGACTCGATTTCTGTTGTATATTGAGCGAATGAAAGATGTGAGTGAACTTGACATTTGCCACGAATGTTCCAAGTGAAAGATAAATTATTGCTTGTGAAATTCGCGTAAAAAGATAATACGAGTGGATTTCGAATTATAATAATTTTAATTATTAATGGAAGTAATTTAATAAACGGTGAAGTATTTTTGTAAATTTTATAATTTTTTTTTTTTTTTTTTAGTTAATGATAAGGGAAATATCGATTTTCGAAACATTGTCATTTTTTATTCTCTTTGCACTCTTTTCCTCTTCTTTTCTTTTTTTATATGGAATTCAGTTAAGAGAAATTGCTATAATCAATGTATTATATTTATATCTTATTATTTGTTATTTTAATAAGATATTTATTAATTATATTTATTATATTAATTATTATATATATTATTATATATATTATTTATTATATTTATTAATTTGTTATTTTAATAAAATAGGGAAATTTTGTAACAAGAAAGGGGAAAAGAACTTGGTTTAATATCAATTTCTTTAAATCAAATAGAAAATATATTACGTATTCGTTAGAATTAAAATTCTAAAATTATTCCATCTTGTTTTTTCATTCGTTTTGTTTATTATATCGTTGATTGAAAATTTCACATATTATAATTTAATATTTTAGATATTTGTATTTGATACAAATATTTTCGTCTCACTTGCGCCACGGAATTTCTCTGACTTTCTGCGGTACAATATATGTATACCACAAATTACGGCTCATGATGTATATACTTCGGCAGAGCTTTCCAAAGACGTTTGAAATGCCAAGGTGTGTTAAGAGAGAGTTATTCCTCTAATAATTCTCAAAAGTACTCACTTCGTTACACAATATTCCTTAACACTAAGGTAAGTGTATTACGGTAAAATAGCCCATTTTTTAAGACAAACATTTATAACGAAACTTTTCTTCTTCTTCTTCTTCTTCTTATTAAATAATTAATTATTTAATTTATAATTCTCGAAATATTCTTTTGAGCAAAATATATATTTTTCACAAGTGGAAAAATTAATTTTCAAATTCTTGTGCGAAGAATAATTTTTTCAGAGCAAAACTGATCGTTGAGAAAAATTTGAGGGAAAAAAGTTACTCTGGAACAAAAGTTATTTCACAACACAATGCCCACTCCAGTGATGAGAAATACCCTCTCAAGTGTTTCGCTCTCTCAAACGGATTTACACCTTTGGCCTTTAATTAATTAATCATTGTTTCCAAACAACGAACAAAAATGAATAAATTACACCGGTTTCGCGAATTAATATTTTGAAATTAGGTTGATTAGATTGGATTGAAACGAATGAATTATTCAGTTTAGTAACATTTTAAGTAACATTTCGAAAACAGATTGATTGCAAAATCTAAGCTAAAATAAATAAAGATTTGACAAAATCTTTGATTTCAACCCTTTTTTATCCCTCCAATAATTGGATTGGATTAATCTTAGCTTTTATTTTCGGATGAAAATAATATATCTCTGCTATCGTTCAATATCTTCGAGAGATTCATCTATTATTATTATTATTATTATTATTATTATTAAACGAGGATAATAAATGTCTTGATAACCTCGTACGCCATATTGTTAACTTTCGTGTAACATTCGATAAAATGTTTCGCGTAGAAGCATGATGATAAATTTGTTTAAAGAGAACAACGCGGGGAAAAGAAATAACGTGGAAAGATATTTAAAACGCGATGGATGTGTTCTTTACGAATCGTACGTATAGTTTATCATCTATCTAGTGACATCTCGTGCATCAATATAAATTAATTTTAATAACCGTGCAGTTAATAATTTTAAAACGTAACAAAATACTCTTTGCACGAGGATGAAAAGGATTTCATAAGGATCCATTAAAAATAATTGCAATTTTATCTTTATAATTGCAAAATTTAGTTTCTAAGTTTTTTTTGGAATACGTTAAGAAAGTATAAAATATATCATAAAATAAATGTCAAAACACGCTTCCTCTTCGTATCCTGGAATCCATCTCGTAATTTCATTTTGCTTTATAATATATATATATATATATATATATTTTTTTTTATACTCTATCGTTTGTCTCAATTATACAAGACATGTATATAGATTGCCATATTTTAATTCTGTGAAATATTTCTTCATAGAAAAATTGTTTCGCTTGTTTATTTAAATAGATAATATTCAGAAAATAACGAAAATAAAATTTCTTTCGTTTCGTACAATTATTTCTCGAGAAAATGAAGTGGTTATGGAATTGTCAAATTTTCGATTTTTTTCTTTTTTTGAGAATTAATAATAAAGAAATTCTATTTTTTTGCTTATTTTTAAATAATTATCTATTCGTTTTGGTCGAGAATTAATTAAACTGACATGTATTTGACAAATTTTTAAATTTGATTTATTCGAAAATAACATGGAAAATTTGAAAAAGTTTCTAATTTTTAATCTTTAATTTTTAATTTTTTTGTTTTGTTTCATATTTGTTGTTAAAATATTATCCTTGATAAAATAGATCTATATCTCAAAAAACAGATAGGCATTCTAGAGTCAATTTTTGAAAAATTTTCAGAATTTTAGAACTTCATAAAAAATTCCACTTTTCTGAAATTAAAAATAAAAATTTCCAGCTTTAAAAATATCTTATTCTACATTCTTTTAATCAATTTTTTACTACACTATAAATTTAGAATCGTTCCTTTTTTCCTTTTCACGTTGAATCTCCTAATCTTCTTGTTAATTTCGAATTAACTTTTTTTGTATTTTACATTTGTTGTTAATATTGTCCTTGATAAAATAAATAGAATAATAATTCTAGAGCCAATTTCGAAAGATTTTTTCAGAATTTTAGAACTTCATAAAAAATTCCACTTTTTAGAATTATTCCTTTTTCCTTTTCACGTTGAACACTTCTTCTAATCTTCTTATTAATTTCAAATTAACGTTCATCAAAATATAATAATTATTCGTACATCTCATTTTCAATGAATTTTCGAACCATTTTTCGAATCATTTTTCACTAAGTTAGCTAACTAACTCAATTAAAAATTTCACGAAGCTCATTATCGATTCCAAAGCTCTCTCGACCAACGATCTAAAATAAAATCATCAACTACCTACCACGAGGCTTTACATTTTCGCAAATTTTCGAAGAAAAGTTGTTCTCAAAGGGGCCAACTGGAACGCGTTATACATCTTTTTAAAAAATTCCTATCGAATTTCAATTCGCTCGAATTACATAAATCATTCCTCGTTTTCGTTTGTCCTTCGTTCCCTTTGTCAACTTTTATTATTCGAATATCTATGCAAGAATACACATTTTATCGCAGTCATTTTACTTCTAATTAATAAAATTCGAACGATATGTTGAAGTTTATTAACTTTCGAAAGACGAGTAGAATTGGATCGATCGTTTCGATTGACAAAAATGACAGATCTCATTTTTTTTTTGTTTTTTGATAAAATTAGTATTTTATCGAGGTTAAAATGTAATTACATTTATTTTGTTTATTTCTACATCATTTTTATTTTCAGTTACCTATATGTAAAATAGATATTTAAATATTTAGATAGTTCCAGTGTGAAGGATAAATGGAAGAATCTTTTAAAAATCAGAGAATCAAGTTACTATATCAGAAAAAATTTGGATATTTTAATCACGTGTGTTTTTATTTATATCTACATTACTTTAATTACAATCGTTTGTATATAAAATATAATATACACTTAGATAGTTTCAGTGTGAAGCATAAGTGGAAGAATATTTTTAAAAATCAGAGAATCAAATAATTGAATTATTGTGTCAGAATAAAAGTTTGGATATTTTAATCACATGTATCTTTATTTATTTTTACATCACTTTAATCGTTTGTATATAAAATATAACACTTAGATAATTCCAGTGTAAAGGATAAGTGGAAGAATCTTTTAAAAATCAGCGAATCAAGTAATTGAGTTATATTACAGAGTGAAAGTTTGGATATTTTAATCACATGTATCTTTATTTATTTTTTTTACATCATTTTAATCACAATCGTTTGTATGTATGATTACTTAAGTAGTTCCAGTGGAAGAATCCTTTAAAAATCAGAGAATCAAGTTACTGTATCAGAATAAAAATTTGAATACTTTAATCACATGTGTCTTTGTTTATTTCTACATTACTTTAATCACAATTGATTTTGTATATAAAATATAACACTTAGATAGTTCCAGTGTAAAAGATAAGTGGAAGAATCCTTTAAAAATCAGAGAATCAAGTAATTGGATTACTGTGTCAGAGTAAAAGTTTGGATAATTACATGTGTCTTTATTTATTTTTACATTACTTTAATCACAATTGTTTGTATATAAAATATGATATTTGAATAGTTCCAGTGTGAAGAGTAAGTGAAAGAATCTTTTAAAAATCAGAGAATCAAGTAATTGAGTTATTGTGTCAGAGTTTAGATATTTTAATCACATGTATCTTTGTTTATTTCTACATCACTTTAATCACAATCTTAGATAGCTCCAGTATGAAGGATAAATAGAAGAATCTTTTAAAAATTAGATTATTGTATCAGAATAAAAGTTTGGATATTTTCAAAAACTTTAATCACTCTTCACATTTCTCCATCAAAATTCTCTTCGAATAGCTCTTGCAATTTCTGTTCAAATCACAAAGACCTATTCCAACAAGATGAATCAAAATTCAACGTCATCATTCAAAATTATACAATTCCATTCCATTCTGAATACTCCCATTTACAACTTTCCCTTACTTTTTCCCCGATTGCATCGAATCGATACCGATATTTAAACCAGAATAAAACGATTCTTTCCCGTCGACTTCGAAAGACATCCTGCACTTCCTCTTGACCGCGTTTCCGTTTTCCTTTAGCGTTCTAGGTGAGACATCCGTTCGTATGTCTGGCGAAACCGATCCTCGAGGCATAACAGTTTCTCCTCAGACAGATAGCGCACGAGGATGCATACATACCTGCCCCCCTCCCCCTCCACACACATACAGTGACGAGCTGTGACGCGTAATGGACCGTTCAAATCCGTCCACGTCGTCGATCTTCAATAACGAGAGATCGTTTCTATGGTTACACGCCGATCAATTGCCATTCGACTTGACTGTTACTCGCCCGTCCATGCCCCCTCCTGTTATTGAACCCGAGGAACTGTGCCCAATGTTGTACGTGTCACGGTGCGGTGTGCCTTCCAGTTCGGCATTCCAACACGGTATTTCTGTCCACGGGTATAAATATGTGCCACGAGTCTCTCTCCTCCCTTCCTCCACGAGGATGAGCAGGAGGAGGAGGAGCAGCAGGAGAACGTCGTATATAGATAAACGAACAAACCGTGTATCCAACGTGGAAGGTTGATGGATGGAACGAGGTAATAATTTCACTTGGCAGTGTTTTCGAACGAGAGGCTGTGAAAATACGAAAGTTGGAGCGATGATAGGTGTAACATGAACACGGTGATGATCGTGGGGAAAAGTGTGAGAAGCTTGGTTTTAGGGCTAGTGACGAGTAATGTCTGTGTCTCTCGAGTGATGGATTTTTTTTTTTTTAATTCGAATGTCGATAATTTTCGAAATATATCGAATACTTGGTCAAATATTTCGATACAAACGATCGTTAAATTTTTTATATATGTAAAATTTGCGATTCGTTTTCGAATCTATGAGAATTTATTTTAGCGTATATAATGAATCATTACGCGATTTCATTCGATCTGTCAATCACGGGATCGTTTTACTTCGTTAACGATGTTGTTCGTTCAATTGTTAATATCTTGATCATATAGTTATTAACTTACGTTTTATTAAAAAAAATTAATAATAATAATAAATAAAATTTCACCGTACGGAATACGTTTGAGGCGGAGGATTGTAAATAAATCTTCTATTCGTTATTTGTTAAAATAAAAATCCATTAATTCGTGAATTAATATTGTCGATTACAAGAAAGTATTGGTGTACATACGTAAAGAAAAAGATATGATTTACCTTTAATCAAACGTGAAACAATATTTGTTCAAATGTATTCCTTCACCGATTCATGTATCGATAAAAATAACACAAAGCTGGAAGTATATTTTCTTGTATCCTACTGTGAAACAAGGATCCGATATATCAGTGGTTCCCAACCTGTTGATCTCTATCCATAAGACGGTTACTTAAAAAAGCTTGGAAATTTATTCTTTTGGTTTCAAGGAATAAAAATACAG